TAAGCAACAAGGAGATAGACAACCTATCTGATACAGAGTACAAAACACTGGTAATCAGGATGCTCACAGAATTGATTGAGCTCAGTTGCAAAATGAAAGTCGAAATGAAGGCTATACAAATTGAAATAAAGGAAAATATACAGGGAACCAACAGTGAAGGGAGGTAACCCAGGAATCAAATCAATGATTTGGAACAAAGGAAGAAATAAACATCTAACCAGAACAGAATGAAGAAATAAAAATTCAAACAAAAAAAAAAAAAAGAGAAGAACCTTAGGGTTGCCGGTTCAGTTCCCAGTCAGGGCACATGCCTGAGTTGCAGGCCAAGTCTTTGGTCAGGGGTGTGCTAGAGGCAACCACAAATTCATGTTTCTCTCCATCTTTTCCTCCCTTCCCCTCTGTCTAAAAATAAATAAATAAAATATTTTTAAAATAATTTAAAAAATAATGATGGAAAACTTCCCTAACCTGGTGAAGGAAATACACATACAAGTCCAGGAAGCACAAAGAGTTACAAACAACATCAACCCAAAGAGTGCCACACCAAGACACAAAATAATTAAAATGCAAAGGGTTAAAGACAGAGTGGGGATCTTAAAAGCAGCAAGAGAAAGACAGTTAGTTATCTACAGGAGAGCTCCTATAAGACTGTCAGCTTATTTCTCAACAGAAATGTTGCAGGCCAGAAGGGATTGGCAAGAAATATTCCAAATGATGAAAAGCAAGTACCTATAACCAAGATTACCTAGCAAAGCTATCATTTAGAATTTAAGGGCAAATAAAGAGCTTCCTAGACAAAAAAAAAAAAAAGCTAAAGGAGTTCATCATCACCAAAACAGCATGGAGTCCACTGTTTTCCCAGGCATAATAAACTGCTTTTTCCCTTGCACTTTTTCATTGCACTCTGTGCTTATAACTATCATAGATAGTATTGGTTATCACCCTATATTTTCTTTTCCCTATTAAATTGTGAGCTCTTTGAATGGTGGCTGGGACTGCTGACTTATTTGTGTCTCTATTCCCAGTATTTAAGAAAGTACTTATTATACACATGCTCACATAGTATTTGTTCAGTGAAATAATGAAGAAATTAATATACTTGCTTAAGAGTGGTTTCAGGGTGGAGGGAGTAATCTCACATAAAGGGAGAAGAGTATTTGATTAATAATTGAGTATTAGACCAAGGGTGGATTTTTTTTCTTCAAATGGCCAGATAACAAATATTGTAGACTTTGGAGGCTATATATGGTCTTGGTCTCAAATTTTTCTTTATTTTGTTTCCAACCCTTTAAAAAGAAAAATCCACTGTTAGCTTGTGGACCATATAAAAATAGGCATGGACCATAGTTTGATAGCTTCTGTCTTAGATAATACCTACAGATAGAAGTTTGGAAAACAAGAGTCTATGGAGAAAATAATTGTAATCCAGATATCAGCAGAGGCCTCTCTATGTTCCTTGCCACTACCCATAAAATCTCATTAAATTTGACTTTACCTCTTGATTTGCCCTGTTATTTTAGAACCTTCCTTTACCCATCAGCAAATGTTGTTGTCTGCAGTTATGGCCTTTGGTATGTGATTGGTTTCATCCCACATTAGTTTATACCATACACACATGCACACATCTGCTCAAAGGAAGCATTTTGTGGGTTTAGTGACCTTGAGGGTTTATTGAGAAGGTTCACATCAAGCACCATTCAGGTTCTCTGCAATTGCATGTCTTTTCATCTCTTTTCCCACAGGACAAATTAATTCCTTTTAAGGCTTTATAGGAATGAAATTGTTTTATTAATTTTTCTGAAACCATGACTCTCAGAGAGTTGCCAACTCCAAGCAGGTTTATCAAGATGCTTTTACCAACAGATAATTATGATAATGATAATATAGCAGCTGACATATATAAGACTAAGGGATAGAAACACTTCTAAGAACTTTAGAATTAAACCCATGAGATAAGTATTACTATTATCCTCATTTTACAAAACAGGAAATGGAGTCACTAGAAGTTTAAATATTTTGCCCACAATTACACATAATCAGTGGAAAAGAAAGTTCCAAGGAATCAGGGTGAGGGCAATCGATATTGTTCCAAGTGAAGAGTCACTGAAGGATGAAACCTGAAAACCAATGCTTGTATTTGGCAGAAAGGTTAAAATTAGTAAATTTTAAAAGAACTACTTCAGTTTTCTTTGTTTGTTTATTTACTTTGTTTACTTCATAGGCACAGACAACAGTATGGTAATTATCAGAGGGAAAGGGGAATGGGGCCAGGTAGAAGAAGGTAAAGGGGATATATATGCTGATGGGAGAAGACTTGACATTGGGTAGTGAACATACAATACAATATACAGATGATGTGTTACAATCGTACACCTGAAACCTATATAATTTTATTGACAAATTTCACCCAAATATTTATAAATTCAATAAAAATTTAAAATTTAATTAGTTAAAAGAATCATTTCAGTTAGTGGGGTAGAAGCAATATTGTAAGGCATAAAATAAGAATGGCTTCTAAATATAATAGAATTAATGATTATAAACTTACACCATACACAAAAATAAACTCAAGATAGATAAAAGACTTAAATATAAGTCATGACACTATTGAAGTCCTAGAGGAAAATATAGGAAGGAAAATTTCAGATATCCCATGGAGCAATATTTTCACTGATTCATCCTCTAGGGCAAGGGATATAAAGGAAAGAATAAACAAGTGGGACTATACCAAACTAAAAAGCTTCAGCATGGCTAAAGAAAACATCAACAAAATGAAAAGGGAACCAATAGTATGAGAAAACATATTTGCCACTGATACTTTGGACAAGGGTTTGATCTTCAAAATATATAAGAACTCACATGACTCCACTCCAGGAAGACAAACAACCCAATGAAAAAATGGGCAAAGGACCAGATGAGACACTTCTCCAAAAAGGACATACACAGAGCCTAGAGATGTATGAAAAGATGTTCAGAATCACTAGCCATTAGAGAGATGCAAATAAAAACCACTATGGGATACCACTTCACACCAGTCAGAATGGCCATCATAAACAAATCAACAAACAAGTGCTAGAGGGATTGTAGAGAAAAGGGAACCCTAGTACACTGTTGGTGGGAATGTAGACTGGAGCAGCCACTGTGGAAAACAGTATGGAATTTCCTCAGAAAACTAAAATTGCTGGCTGGCGTAGCTCAGTGGTTTGAGCGCGGGCTGCGAACCAAAGTGTCGCAGGTTCGATTCCCAGTCAGGGTACATACCTGGGTTGCAGGCCATGACCCCCAGCAACCGCACATTGATGTTTCTCTCTCTCTTACTCCCTCCCTTCCCTCTCTAAAAATAAATAAATAAAATCTTAAAAAAAAAAAGAAAACTAAAATTGGAACTGCCTTTTGATCTGGCCATTCCACTGCTGGGATTATACCCTAAGAACCCTGAAACACCAATCCAAAAGAGCCTATGTGCCCCTATGTTCATAGCAGCACAATTACCATAGCCAGGTGTTGGAAGCAACCTAAGTGCCCACCAGTAAATGCATGGATAAAAAAACTATGATACATTTACACAATGGAATACTACACATTTCAAAAAAGGAGCTCCTACCCTTTGCAACAGAATGGATGGATCTAAAGAACATTATGCTAAGTGAAATAAGCCAAGAGGTAAAAGACAATTACCATATGATGTCACCTAAAAGTGGAACCTAATCAACAAAACAAACAAGCAAGCAAAATATAACCAGAGACATTGAAATTAAGAACAAACTGACAGTAACCAGAAGGGAGGGAGGAGGGTATAATGGGAGAAAGGAAGGAAAGGTCATCTAGGAACATGTATAAAGGATACATAGACGAAGCCAAAGGAGGGTAGGATTGAGGGTGGGAGGTAAGGATGGTTGGGGGTGGGGGAAATGGAGACAACTGTACTTGAACAACAATAAAAAAATCAACTAAAAATTGAAAAATAAGCAAAAAAAATGGGCAAAGGACCTGAATAGATACTTCTCCAACGAGGACATACAGAGGGCCCAGAGACATATGAAAGGATGTTCAGCATCACTAGCTATCAGAGAAATGCAAATTAAAACCACAATGAGATACCACTTCACACCAGTCAGAATGGTCATCATAAACAAATCAACAAACAACAAGTACTTGCAAGGTTGTGGAGAAAAGGGAACCCTAGCACACTGTTGGTAAGAATGCAGACTGGTGCAGCCATTGTGGAAAACTGGAATTTCCTCAAAACACTAAAGATGGAACTGTCTTTCTATCTAGCAATCTCACTGCTGGGAGTCCACCTTAAAAATCCTGATTCACCAATTCAAAGGGACCTACCTATGCACCCCAATGCTCATAGCGGAATTATTTACAATAGCCAAGTGCTGTAATAGCCTAAGTGTACATCAGTAAGTGAGTGGATCAAAAAACGGTAGTACATTTACACAATGGAATACTATGCTGCTGAAAGAAATAAGGAACTACTCTTCATAACATCATGGATGGATCTGGAGAGCATTATGCTACATGAAATAAGCCAGACCATGGCAGACAAATACCATATGATTGCACCTATAAGGAACCTAATCAACAAAACAAAAAAATGAGCAAAATAGAACCAGAGACTTGGAAATAAAGAACAAACTGACAGTGACCAAAGCGGGGGGAGGGATAACTGGGCAAAGAAGGGGAAGGGGCAAGCAAAGGAACATGAATAGAGGGCTCATGAGCACTGACAATGGGGAGGATTGACTGTAGAAGTGGGAGAGCCTAGGGTAAGGGAGAGCAATGGGGGAAAAGGCAGAACAACTGTAACTCACCAACAATAAAAAAAAAGAAGCAATGGTTATAGACTACTTGTGCTTTGCTGTCCAGAATTTCTTCTTTATTTAATCATATGCAGTTAATTAAATATATTCTTTTACACAGATTTTTATGTAGTGTTATTCCATTTGCCTTATAAAGGTTGTTTTATATTGTTACTAACTGTCTCTTCTTAGTATTGAATTTCTTAGGATGCACCACAGATTGTCCTACCTACAAACCAAGATCCAGGGTCTGCTGAGGGGAAGAGTCATACATGAGGCCCTTCAACAGCCCAACTTCAAAAGTTTATTTCCATTAACCATCCATTGACACCATACAATGTTAAACTCTCTGAATTGTGCTTGGCAACAACATGAAGATCATTTTGGTAAGATGTGTGGAGACAAATACTTGATTTTTAATTGATATAAACAAACAACATAAAATTTAACATCTTAACCATTTTAAATGTACAATTCAGTAGTATTAAATATATTCATATTGTTTTGCAATAACAAATACATTTATGTGGACTAAAAATACTTTCTATGGAGTTGTGAGGACCTCTAGTCATTTATTTCCAAGGTTATCCTATAAGTTGCAAGAAAGATGAAAATAATTAGGGCAACAGTAAAATGTCATCCCAGCTAGGGAAAGGAACACTGCTCTGCTACAGCCCCACTCTCTCTCTCCATGCCTCATGTAAAAAAAAAAAAAAGAAAAGAAAAGAAAAGAAAGCTTCATTGTACAAGGGAGAAGGTTTCAAAGGCATAGACTGAAAATACTTCAGCCAGGAAAGGTATTAGGTGGCAGAGCAGAAAAAAGCTTTATACCTGTGTATTAGTTTTATAATGCTGCCATAAAAATTGTCACAAACTAGTTGGCTTAAAAATACATAAATTTTTTATTTCACAGTTATGGAGGCAATAAGTCTGAAATAAATGCATTGGCAGGGCCATGGTCCCTCCAAAGGCTCTAGGAGAGAACTCTTCCTTGCTTCTTCCAGATTCTGGTGGTTGCCGACAATCCTTTGTGTTTCTTGGCCTATGGCAACATCACTCCACTCTGTCTCCATCATCACATGGCCTTCTTCCCTGTGTCTCCAAATCTCTCTTTCCTTATAAGGATGTCAATTATTGGATTTAGGGCTACCCTAATTCATTATGATCTCATCTTGGTTACCTTCAAAAACCCTATTTCAAAATAAGGTCTTATTCACAGGTACTAGGAGCTAGGATTTTAATATATCTTTTTTGGGACAAATAGTTCAAACCACAACACCCTAAAAAAGGACAAAAACAATTGTGAAGGCCACATCCCAAGGCATAGACCCACTGTATAGTCCAAAGACTGAAACTTAATCCAAAATTAGAGAATGCCCTCCTCCCCCCCACATTACAACTACCTAATAAGCCTTCAGTTAAAATAAAAGTCGATTACACCTGGGAGAGCTGCAAGAAGCAGACTGTCTCTGAGGTGCAGCACAAAGGGAAGGTCCAAGACCAAGAGGACAGACAAAAATAAGATCACTAGAGAAAATCCCTGCCTCTAGGACACATACAGACAGACAAACATGAGACACAGCCCATCTCTTATCCAGACTGATACAAATATTCACCTTAAAGTTCTGTACATGTCTGGCCTTCAACAACAGCAAAATTTAAAAACATGCTAAAAGGCAAGAAATAACACAACTTGAACAGACAAAGCACCGTCAGAACTCACATATGACACAGGTGTTAAAATTATCAGTCAGAAAACTTAACTATGATTATACAAAATGAAAAACCAGATGGAAAATATAAGAAAGAATCAAAGGGAAATCTGTCTTTTTCTCACCCGTCACTCTTTTCTCTTTCTGGTTTGATTATCTTGCAATGCTCTCTTACTTTCTCTCTGCAATGCCCTCTATGATTCTCTTGCAATGCTCTGCACTAGAACTGTAGACACTTCTCTAGTTTTCTTCCAAGAATTTTCTTCTTTTGCCTGCCCCTTAAAAGAAGTTGTCCTTGGTCTCCATTGTTCTCTCTATACACTCTCCCTGGATGATCTCACTACATCCATGTACTCAAGAATTATCCTGATGACTGCCAAATCTCTATCTCCAGCCCTGACCTCACTCTTGAACTCCCACACCATTTGTCCTTCATTTCCATCTGGATATCCTGCAGGCATCTCAAATCTCACATACTCCAAACTGAACTCATGTCCCTACCAGTACCTAAACCTTCCCCTTCAGCCTATATCTTCAGTAGTTGTCTCACCCTGCACTCAAGGAGTGATCCAGAGCTTTCCTCACCCTTCCCTACTAATGCCCTAATTTTTCAGATGGCTAACTTATATTTGTTCTTCAGGTTTCAACTTGGATACCAATTTCTCCAAGAATATGTCCTAAACACAAAACTTTGTGTAAGTTACTCCTACATGTTCCTATAGCAACTTCAACATTCCTTCTAATAGAAATTATCATAGTATAGTGGTTTTTTAATAGTTTATTTTTCTTCCATCACCATTTATTCCCCCATACCTGCTTCCACCTCCAACCCCACCCCACAATTACCACACTGTTGTCCGTGTCCATGATTCCTTGTTTTTTTTTCTTTTTTTTAATCAATCCCTTCACCACCCCCAGACCCACCCTGCAGAGTTGTCAGGCTGCTCTCTATGAGTCTGTCTCTATTTTGCTTATTAATTCAGTTTGTTCATTAGATTCCAAATATGAGTGAAATCATTCTCAGGTTCATTGCCTATATCTTCCATCAGACCACATATAGGAGCCTCATCTATATTGCTCATTGGTATTTCATCAATGTGTACCACAGTCTGAGACATATACTTGGCACTCAATAAAAATTTCTTGAAGAAAAAAACAAACAAGCAAGCAAAATACAACCAGAGACATTGAAATAGAGAACAAACACACAGTAACCAGAGAGGAGGGAGGAGAAGGATAATAGGGGACAGGCCATCAAGGAACATGTATAAAGGACACATGGATAAAGCCAAAGGGGGTGGGTTCGAGGGGGGGGGGGGGGGGGTGTGATGGAATGAAAATGGAGACAACTGTACTAGAACAACAATTAAAAATAAATAAACTTAAAAAATAATTTGTTGACGAAATGAATAACTGAATCACCAAATCTCGAGCAAGGGTCACCAGCATCAGAAATATGTACCACACAACTATTGTGTGCCATATTACGACTGCAATTGCTTTTCAATTTGTCCCCTGGTATTATTTACCAATGCCATTATATTAGTGAAAATATCTATAATTTGTTTTACTGCAGCATATTTCTAACTTCAGTCTCAATCCTCCTTATTCTATCTCCACACAGCTGCCAGAACAATCTCAATGGAAACAAATCAGGCCATCCCACTCCAGAGCTTAATGACCTTAGTGGGCTCACAATAGCCTACAAGGTATTCCAAAACCTGAGCATAGCTTCCAAAAACCTCAAAGTCTTGGATCCTGCCAGCCCCTCCTCCAGCCACGTCAACCACCAGTCCCCCATCGGCACCCTGCTCTCCAGCCTCAGTAAAATAATTGCACGTTCCCCCCAACGCCTTAGCCTTTCATCAGACTACAGATCCCTACACACACACACACACACACACACACACACACACACACTCTCACACACACACTCACACACTTACCCTCAAGCAGCTTCCCTGACCCAACCTATGCTTTCAACAAAAAATTTATGGACCACTCACTGTACACTGTGACCATGAGTGTAACATATTTAAATCAAATAATGTAATACACTATATTAATAGAGTGCAGGGAGATGGGGGACCTCATGATCAACTCATAGATGTAGGGGAAAGGGAAGCTTCTGAGAAAATCCAACACCATTTCATGAAAACAAACTCAACAAAATAGGAATAGAAGGGAACTTCTTCAACCTGATAAAGGGCATCTATGAAAAACCCACAGATAATACCATTCATAACAGTGAAAGACTGGGTGCTTTACCCCTAGCATCAAGAAGAAGACAAGAATGTTGTTCTTTATGATCTCACCTTTAACAGGACCCTAATCAACAAAACAAAGAAACAAGCAAAATATAACCAAAGACACTGAAATAGAGAACAGGCTGACAGTGTTCAGAGGGGGAGAGGGGAGGGAATTTCAGGGGAATTTCAGGGGGAAAGGGGAAGGTTTTACAGGAACAAGTATAAAGGATGCATGGACAAAAACTAGGGGCGGGTGGAAATGGGAGGGAGATGGGGAGGGCTGGGGGGTGGGCTGGGATGGGAGTAAAAGAAAATTGTACTTGAACAATAATTAAAATAAAATTATTTTTTTGAAAAAGAGTGTTGTTCTTGACACCCTATGCAACATTGTAATCGACATTCCAGTCAGGCCAAAGAGGCAGGGCAAATAAATAAAAGGCATCCCAATTGGAAAGGAACAAGTAAAACTATCCCTGTTTGTAGATGACATATTTGTGTATATAAATGGGTGTGTGTATACACATATACAACACTAAAGAACACACCAGAAACACAGCAACCTATTCAAGTATGCAGTAAGCATTCAGCAGAGTTGCAGGATCCCAGATCAATGTGCAACCATCGGTTGTATTTGTATACACTAGCATGGAACAATCCAAAAAATGAGGTTAAGAAAATAATTGCTTTTACAGTATCATCCAAAAGAATAAAATACTGAGGAATAAATTTAACAAAAGACATGTAAGACGTGTACCCTGAAAGCTGCAAAACATTGCAGAGGGAAATTAAAAAGGACTGAGATAAATGGGAAGTCATCCCATGTTAGTAGATTGAACATTTAATATGGCTAAGATGACCATAGTCCCCAAGGCAACATACAGATTCAGTGCCATGCCTGTTACAATCTAACCTGGCGTCTTTGTAAAAACCTGAAATTCACATGGAAATGCAAGGGATGCAGACAGCCAAAACAATCTCAAAAATGAAGAACAAAGTTGGAGGATTCTCACTTCCCAATTTCAATGCTTACTGCAAAGCTATCCTAAAAAGTGTGGCACTGGAATAATGAGTATAGGCCAATGTTTTAGAATTTGGAGTCAGAAATAAGCCCATATATCAATAAATAGTTGATTTGCAATATGGTTGCCAACACCGTTCAGTGGCTGAATGAAAAATCTCTTCCACAAAAACTGTTAGGATGACTGGATATCCACACACATAAGGATGAGTATGGACCCCAATCTCACACCATGTACAGATATGAACTCGGATGGATCACAGACCAAAAGGTAAAGACAGAAACTATAAAACTCTTGGAATAAAACATAGATGCAAGTCCCCATGACCTTGCAGTGGGCAACAGTTACAAAACATGAGAGCAAAAGCATGGCCACAAAAGACAGAGCAAAAAAAAAGAGAAATTGTATGCCATCCCAATTAAGCACTTTGGTGCATCAAAGGACTCTATCTAGGAAGTGAAAGGACAACCTATAGGATGGGAGAAACATTTGCAAATCATATATCTGATAATGGCCTATTTACCAGCATGCATAAAGAACTCTCATGACAGAAAGGCAAGCAACCCGCAACCCAGTTTTAGGACATGGGCTAAGGACTTGCAAGTACATCTGTTTCCTCCAAGGCAGATGTACAAATGGCCAAGAGACACGTGAAAAGATGATCGACATTATTAGCCATTAGGGAAATGCAAATCAAAACCATGAGATCCACTTTCCACCCCCTAGGATGACTATTATCAGCAAGGCAACAGGAAAATAAGTTTTGGTGAGGATGTGGAGAAAGTGAGACCTTCATACACTGTTGTTGGGAGTGCAAAATGGCACTGCCACTGTGGAAATCAGCTGGCCGGTTCCTCAGTACGTTAAACATAGAATTACCTTTTGGCCTGGCAATTCCACTGCTAGATATATACCCAGAAGAACTGAAAACAGGTGTTCAAACAGGAGCCTGTACAGGAATGTTCACCACAGCGCTAGTCACAACAGCCAGAAGGTGAAAATCACCCAAATGCCCGTCAACTGATGAGCGGGTGCACAACGCGTCGTCCACCCACGCAATGGAAGACTCAGGTGCTGATGCGTGCTGGCATGTGAGTGAACCATGACGAGAACGTTATGCTAAGTGAAAGCAGCCAGACACAAAAGGCCACCTACTCATTGTATGATGGCATCTCTGGAAGTCTCTGGAGTAGCCACACCTCTATGTACAGGAAGAAGGCTCCTATTAGCCTGGGTTCTGGGGGAGAGGAGAGGTTGTTGGCCTGGGGAGCGGGGCAGGGGGCGGGCAGCGGGGAACGACTGCCTGATGGGTACAGGGGTTTCTTTTTGGGTGGCCCCAGTGTTGTGGAAGTAGACAGTTGTGATGGCCGTCCGACACCACGAGTGTTTACCCGGTGCCACGGGACCATACGCGTCTGTTGCTTTTTCCATACAACGTTCCTGTCCAGTGGAAAGAGAGGCTCCGTCGAAGGGAGGGCCCGGTGGGCCGCGTGCCCGGGGCGCCGCCAGCGCCCTCTCTTGGCAGGCCCAGGCCCTCCGGGGCCAATGGGAAAGCGGTGACCTCATGGAACGCCTGTGTCACACACCGTGCGCCTCCACCAACCAGGGGCCGGTCTGTGGTTGCTAGGATACGCAGTAGGAACCTGTGTACCAGCCATCTAGGGAGGTTGGGACCAACTGCCCAATCTCACCTTGCCGCACCTTGCCGCACCTTGCCGCACCTTGCCGCACCTTGCCGCACCTTGCCGTGCCCCGCAGCACCCCGCAGCGCACTGCAGAGCTACGCCGGTGGGACCAAGAGCGCCCAACGCCCAGCATGCCTGGTCGAAGGAGCCGTAGGGGGTCGTCCGGTACCGGTCACCGTCGCCAGAGGCGGACCCGCACCCGCACCGCCAGAGCTGAGCTGCTTTTCTCGGTCAGCCACCTGGAGCGCCTCCTGCGCGAAGGCCACTACGCCCAGCATCTGACCCCATCTGCACCCGTGTTCCTTGCGGCCATCGTGCAGTACCTGACCGCCACGGTCCTGCAGCTGGCCGGGAACGAGGCCCAGAGAAGCGGCTGCAGGCGCATCACCCCACAGCTCGTGGACATGGCCATCCACAACAACGCTCTGCTCAGTGTCTTCTTTGGGAACACCACTATTTCCCAAGTGGCCCCGGGCTGGCACTAGCTGCCCAACAGGACATGGCTTCTCCGGGCCTCAGCCCCAGGGCGTCAGGCCTGTTCGCAGCCCAAGTAGCCCGTGCCTGCCTGGTGCCTTGGGCAAAGTCATTGAAAATAAACTGCTTACACTTGAAAGAAACCCATGTGCCTGCTTCGGTCACTGTGTCTGCGTGGTGGTTGAGGGCCTGAACTCCTTGGAGGGATCGGGGGGGGTGGTGTCTGCTGGTGGGTGAGGGTGGAATCAGGGATGGCGAGAGGAGCGGCCTCTGGGGCTGACGGTGCAGGCCGTGGCCCTGGGTGGGAGAGGCTGCCTGAGATGGCTGTGAGGATGGGGCGAGGAAGACTCCCCCACGGCCTCTGAGCAAGTCAAAGCCCATCAAAGCCCCCCGAAGGATGGTATTCATTGGGGTGGAGTACCCAGACCGTGACTAAGGCATCGGGATAAGGTGACTGTGTCATGCCAACTCGGGTGCTGGATGGAGGAGGGGACAAAGGGGTTGGCATGGACTCCAGTGGGGCAGTGGATGGAAGGGAAGATTGAGGAGTGGGGGTGGAAGGCAATCAAGACAGATGCAAAATCGGAATGACGGTGACGTGGGATCACAAGTTTAGTTTGATTCTCGATCCCTTACAGAGGCTAGGAAACACCCTTAGCAACCCCGGTAAACAAGCTGTTACCTAGCAACAGAGGTGCAGGGCCAGGCCCCGCCTCAAGAACCCGATATTTTGCATATCACTAGGGCAACGAGGGGGCTCCGGGCTTCGGTGCCAGCGAGGTAGCAAGGCTGGCCTAAGCCAGACGCAGGGCACGTCAGGGCCAACCGCCAGCACTCGCACGTCCACGAGCTGCGTAGGCGCGCCCGGAAGCGCCGGGGCTGGGAACATGGCGGCGTCCGCGAGCGGCTTGGGCGGCGCGGCCCCGGGACCGGATGCCGGGGACTTCCTGGCCAGGTATCGCCAGGTGTCGAACAAGCTAAAAAAGCGGTTCCTGCGGAAGCCTAACGTGGCGGAGGCCGGCGAGCAGTTCGGACAACTGGGCCGAGAGCTGCGCGCCCAGGAGTGCCTGCCTTATGCGGCCTGGTGCCAGCTGGCGGTTGCGCGCTGCCATCAGGCGCTCTTCCACGGGCCCGGGGAAGCTCTGGCCCTCACCGAGGCCGCCCGCCTCTTCTTGCGGCAGGAACGCGACGCGCGCCAGCGCCTCGTCTGCCCCGCCGCCTACGGGGAGCCACTGCAGGCAGCTGCCAGCGCCCTGGGTGCCGCTGTGCGCCTGCACCTTGAGTTGGGCCAGCCGGCCGCCGCCGCCGCCCTCTGCCTGGAGCTGGCCGCCGCCCTGCGCGACCTGGGTCAGCCGGCCGCTGCCGCTGTCCACTTCCAGCGAGCCGCCCACCTGCAGCTGCCCCAGCTGCCCTTGGCTGCGCTGCACGCGCTCGGCGACGCCGCCTCCTGCCAGCTGTTGGCGCGCGACTACAATGGCGCCTTGGCGCTCTTCACGCGCTTGCAACGCCTGGCGCAGGAGCACGGCAGCCACCCGGTGCAACCGCTGCCGCCGGTCCCGCCGCAGCCACAGCCTCAGGTACAGTCGCAGCCATTAGGCCTCCAGCAAGGACTCGGCGCATCCCCAGCCCTGCAGGCCGCGCTGCTCCCTCCGAATGCGGGCTCTGCAGCCGCGCCCTCTCCCGCAGTACTGGGAGCCTTTTCAGACATCCTGGTACGCTGCGAGGTGTCCCGCGTGTTACTGTTGCTGCTCCTGCAACCCCCGCCCGCCAAACTCCTCCCAGAGCATGCCCACACCTTGGAGAAGTACTCCTGGGAGGCTTTCGACAGCCACGGGCAGGAGACCAGTGGCCAGCTTCCAGAGGAGCTCTTTCTGCTGCTTCAGTCCTTGGTCATGGCTACCCACGAAAAGGACACAGAAGCTATCAAATCGCTGCAGGTGGAGATGTGGCCACTGTTGAGTGCCGAGCAGAACCACCTCCTTCACCTTGTTCTGTGAGAAACCATCTCCCCCTCAGGACGGGTTCCGATTAATCGTATTAACCAAGTAGCTTTACCTGTTACCAACCTCACACATCCACCTTTGCCTTTGGAGGGAAATAAAAGACATTGATCCAATGATTCTACCTTTGTTTAGCTTAGTCCTCTTGCCACCACAGGAATTTAGTTGACTGAAAATTACTGTATCCCAGAGACTTATTTCCATAATAGTGGGAGAATAAATAATATAATAGGATCTGAATAGAGCAAATGGCCCTCTTCCCAAAAACTGCAACATAAAAATGAGAATGCTTTATCCCTTTCTTCTTCCACCCAAGTCGACTTGTCCCATGCCCCTACCCCCAAATCTTTGTTTCATTTTCAGGATTTTATTTTGTACAGCTGTCTAAATACTTAAGCTATGTGATTTTTTTTACCGTGGTTAATTTCTTGGAGTGTTTCTATATCTATGTGATCACCCAGTTTCTCCTCTGTTTTATCCATCTCATACGTATGCATGGTATTCCATACATCGTTGCTACAGCCCTGAATCCATGATAAAGCCATTCTAATAATCCTGATTGTGGTTTATATTTACTTCATCTATAACATGGGAATAACTTAGATACTTGTCAGGATGCAGAAAGCAGGAACAGATAGTTCTCTTTCAATTCCAAGATGTATTCATTTATTTAAAATTGACAGTGTAACTTGTATACAATATCCCAGACAATGAGTCCACAGAGATCATTTACTTAAATAGCTGCAATGCAAATGTGTCTGGTGCAATCTTGGGTTGAGAGTGTGGTTGGAGGAAAATGGAGGTCCAACACAAATGTGTCAGGTATGCATTAGAATTCACATGTCTGATTCTATTCTGAGAGTACCCATAACCTTTTATTTGTAGTAGGAATCTTTCTGTAACTCTTATTTAACTCAACAATGTGAAATCACAGTTCTTTGGTGTTGTGTGATTGTGTATATGATAACATGATGGCATTCTGTTAAAAAATACTAAATTTTCAAGGCTTTTTGGTCAAAATGCTACATGCAAACCAATTTAGCTGATTTTCTAATTCAGTTTTATTTTCTTCACACTTTTGAGAGTGATAACAATCACTCTTCAGAGTATCTGACTCAATCATTCAGCTTTGGGAAAATGCACCCATTTAGGCTAAAGTTGTATACAGTACTAATCTTTTGGGATGAGATCTGAGGACACAGTTTGGGGGTAGATTTTTATTTTGCATTTTGGGGGGCATGTGGACAGTTGTCACTATGAGTTAAGTGCCCTAAAATGGGTGGGACTTTTGGGGTATTCTTTTCTGCTTCTGTTTCAACAGTGTGGAAGCAATAAGTAAGGATCTACAGGACACACCTATTTCAGACAGATTGAGCCATGATTCCTGTGTTCTCACTTGGCTGCCAGGAAAGGTTCATTGGGGCCCAAAGAACCTAGTCCAGTTTACTGAAAAAGTGGTAAGGGTGCATGCTCCTATGTGCTTTTGCTTTTTCTGGTACACTCCTCTCACCCTGGGCTGCAAGCCCGGCCTGCTGCCTTACTGTCTTATGACAGGAACACTTAAGAATTATGTAATGAGACTGGTGACAGTATTTGATTTGGACTTAAGAAATATACCCTTAGGGATCTGGTCCAAATTCCTTGCATTGAGGAGGTGGATGGGGTGGGGGAGGAATTACCAGAGACCCAGGTATTAAGTACACGAGCAGTATTGATCAGAGTTCTCCAGACATACAAAAACAAAAAAAAACAACAAAACAAAAAAAAAACATAATCAATCTCTCACTCTCTCTCTACACACACACACACACACACACACACACACACAATACATATGTATATATCTGTATCTGTCTGTCTTTCCAATCTCATGTGAGTGGAAGCTTGGAAAGTCCTACATCTACAAAGTAGGCTAGAGACAAAAAAAAGAGGTGCAGTTGGAGTCCAGAGGCATCTGCAGGTGAAATTTCCTCTTTTTCCAAGGAAGTCACTCTTTCTTTTTTTTTTTTAATTCTTGTTTATTCCGTTATAGTTGTGTCAATTTTTCCCATTTGCCCTCCTCCACCCAACCCACCACTCACTCCCAGTCAATCCCCACACAGTTGTCCATTCTTTTTCTATTAAGGCTTTTAATGGATTTAATGAGGCCCACAGCCATTCTCAAAGTCCACTGATTTAAATTTTAATTTCAACTAAAAAATACCCTCACAGTACATTTACAATGTTTACCAAATATATGGATACTGTGGACTAGCCAAGTTTGCACATAAAAGTGATAATCACAAGTATACCCTTTATCAACTTGGCACCCAGATACATCTTAAAACATACTGAAACTCCCCAAAAGGAAAATAACAAGGTCCTACTTTGACCTAATATGATACAATTACCCTGTGTACAAACAAAATTGCAATAACCCTTTTCCTAGGTGAAGATTTAAAGTCCTTGGGTAATGTTTACTCTTTTCCTTGACATCCAGAAACTTAAATAATATCATTTAAAGTTATAAATACTTAAATACTATGATATAAAGTCAATAGATTTTATGTGCTAGGATAAAAGAGGGAAGAAAAATTTTATGCACAGAAACATTCACAAACATTGATAACAAAGGAATGCTCATGACAATTACATTACTTATTTCTATAACTGGTCACGTGGTCCTAGATGATGTTCATAATTACCCTCTTTCACTGTCTTTCCTATATCACATTTGACCTCAGCAAGTACCTCAACTGATTGTGGTCCTTTAGCTGGTGGAGTAACCCAAGCTGCATTTCTCAAGACTATGGAACATTAGTATAATACCCCTGCCTGAATTTGGTTATGATAGTTTTCCATTGGCTTTAACCACAGAGAATGGTAAGTAATACTATGAGATACTCTAAGGGATCTTCCATACTCCAGACATGGCAGTCCTTACCTCCATTACTTGCTGTGGACCAGTAGTACAAATTCCCCTTGGTAGTCATGATTAATCACCCCAGCCAGCATAGCAACTCCCTTTTCTGCCTATAGACTCATAGGCATGAGAAGCACAGAGTAGCCAAGTGTCAGTCTTAACTTCCAGTTCAATGGAATCATTCCTGTGTCTACTAACTGAAATATTTATCCTTCAGCAACTATTTTTAAGCCAGGTGAGCATAAGGTTTCAGGGACAGGAAACAAAAACTTTGCTACTGGGTCACTAAAAGTAATAGTGAGTGGTGCTAATCTCATTTTTACCCTTTGATTCCTGGACCAAGAATCCTGGCTATTGGAAAAACGTCATTCTGGAGAAACTTTCTCTAGCCCTGCAAGGTATTGCCAACTAGTTGATGCTGTAAATGAGTCTTCATAAGGCCATTCCACTGTTCTAGAAATCCAGTTGCTTCAGGATGTTGGAGAGTATGGTAAGATCAGTAAATTCTATGAATGTGGGCCCATTGCTGCACTTCATTTGCTGTTAAGTGTTCCTTCATAAGAAACAGTGTTGGTGGAATACAATGACAGTGGATAAGGTATTTCGTAACTCCATGAATGGTAGTTTGGACCGAAGAACTGTATGCAGGGATGAGAAGAGAAATATATATTCAGAATTAGGATCTATTCCAGTGAGGAGAAAACACTGCACCTTACCTGAAAGATGTGGTCCAATATAATCAACCTGTCACCAGGTAGCTGGCTAATCTAGTAATGCCAGAGAATCTGGTAATGCAAGAGAATCTGGCAGAGAGGAGAGGAAAAAGCAGCCATATCAGTAGAATTCTATTCAGGCTAGAATACAATATTACTGCAGATATCAAAAAGAGAGTACACTAAGACACAAACAGACATAGAGTAGAACTGAAGAGAGTTAACTCTTGCTAGCTAAAGACAATTAATCTGGAGTTTTCCCAATATTTTTCAAAGAAAAGCAAGGAGGAAAAAAGTAAAGCTTACATAAAAAAATAATGATGAACACACAACAGCCCCAAACCTATGGGACACAGTGAAGGCAGTCTGAGAGCAAAATTCATAGCAATAAAGGCTTACCTAAAAAGATAGAAACATTTCAAATAATCAACCTAACCCTACACCTACAAGAACTCGAGGAACAACAACAAAGACAGCCCAGAGCAAGTAGAAGGAAGGAAATAACCAAGATCAGAGCAGAATTAAATGACACAGAGACTAAAAGAACAATCCAAAGGATCAATAAATCCAGGAGCTGATTCTTTGAAAACATAAACAAAATTGACAAGCCTTTAATCAGACTATTAAGAAAAAAGGAGACGGGACCTAAATGAATAAAATCAGAAATGAAAGAAGAGAAATTATAACTGATGACAAGGAAGTACAAAGAACTGTCAAAAATTCCTACAAACAAATATGTGGCAAAAAAAAATTGACAACCTGGTTGAAGTGAACAATTTCTAGAAGCATATAATCTTCCAAAACTGAATCAAGAAGAAACAGAAAGCCTGAAAAGACTGATAAGAGCTAGTGAAACGGAATCAGTAATCAAAACACTCCAGGCACACAAAAGCCCTGGACAAGATGGCTTCAAAGGAGAATTTTACAAAATATCTAGGGAAGAGAACTCCTATCCTCCTTAAACTATTTCAAAAATTCAAAAACAGGGAAGGTTCCCAAACTCTTCTAATGAGGCCATTATTATCCTAATTCCAAAACCAGATAAAGACACAACAAAGAAAGAAAACTTCAGGCCAATATTGCTGATGAACATACATGCTAAAATCCTCAACAAAATATTGCCAAATCAAATCCAGCAATACATTAAAAAGGTCATACTCCATGATCAAGTGGGATTCATCACAGGGAAGAAAGGATGGTACAATATTTGCAAGTCAAAATGAAAGATAAAATCACATGATCATATCAACAGATGCTGAAATGGATTGCATAAAGTACAGAACCCACTTACAATGAAAAACACTCAGCAAATTGGCAATAGAGGGAGCATACCTCAATATAATAAAGGCCATATATGAGAAACATACAGCCAACATCATACTCAATGGGCAAACACTAAAAGCCTTCCCACTAAGATCAGGAACAACATAAGGATGTCTGCTTTCACCACTTCTATTCAACATAGTATTGGAAGTCCTAGCCACAGCAATCAGACAAGAAAAAGAAACAAAAGGCATCCAAATTAGAAAGGAGAAAGTAAAATTGTTATTGTTTGCACATGACATGATAGTGTCCATAGAAAACCTTATAACTCTACCAAAAAACTATTTGACCTAACAAGTGGATTTGGCAAAGCAGCGGGATACAAAGTCAATATTCAGATGTCAAAGGCATAATTGTACAACAAAAACAAAATATCAGAAATAGAAATGAGAGGTAAAACCATTTACTATAGTAACAAGAAAAATAAAGTACTGGGAATAAAGTTAAAAAAGGAGGTAAAAGACCTGTACCCAGAAAACTACACAATGCTGAAGAAAGAAATTAAGGAAGACACAAATAAATGGAAGCATATACTGTGTTAATAGACTGGAAGAACTAACATCATCAAAATGTCCATACTACCCAAAGCAATTGATAGATTCAATGCAATCCTTATTAAAATGCCAATGACATATTTCACAGATATACAAAAAGATTTCAAAAATTTATATGGAACCATAAATAACTCCAAATAGGCACATCAATTTTGAGAAAGAAGAACAAAGTAGGAAGGGTAACAATACCTGACATCAAACTATATTACAAGTCCATTGTAATCAAACAGTCTGGCACTGGCATAAAAACAGACACACAGATCAATGGAACAGAATAGAGAGCCCAGAAATAAACCCAAGTTTATTGGAATTAATATTCAACAAACAGGGATGAAGCATAAAATAGAATACAAATAGCCTCTTCAACAAATGGTGTTGGGAGATCTGGACAGCTACATGCAAAAAAGAGAAATTCCACCACCAACTCACACCATACACAAAAAT